TGCAGTTGTCACTGTACACAATACTAACTGTTATGTGTATCTTTCACTTTCAGTCTGTGGTTGGATGGAGTGTTACCTCTAGTGATGGACCGAGAGACTACGGCTCAAGAAAAATGTTTTCAGATTCTGGAAGATGTACTTATCAGTAACATTGTCCCTCAATCAAAGTTAGTAAATGGAACGTTTTTTGGTCTGAGTTTCGGTGAAATGCCCTAAACCACAGCCCATTAGACCTAGCCAACAGAACAGGCTCTATTTTTTCACATTTTTCAGGTGAGCAGAAGGGGGTATGGAGCGCAAAACATGCTCAATGGGGAAAGGTGGATAATTTTCTCCGCTCCGATCTTCCACCGTTGCACATGTCTGGAGCTGCACATCCACCTCATGCTCATCATAAAAAATGCAAAATATTATCACCTGTTCTGCAGTCTAGTTGAGCCAACTCCAAGAACACAGTGTACCATTGTACAATGTGATCTAGATGTAATGTTTACTCTAATAATCCTTCCTTGTCAACCATTGTTTAGATCAACTAATCAGTGCCATATTCTTACATGGAATCTACTGGATCAAATTGCCAGCCCCGCAGGACAAGAAGTTAGGTAAGCATTAAGTGGAGATCAGCCTAATTGAACAAGAAGTGATAAATTTGAAAAAGAGCCTTCAAAGATTTGTTTATTTTACCTGGGGTTAATTGCTATAATGCAGAGTAAAGAAAAGAACAATAACACTTGGAAATCGTATTTACTAAGAGATTGAAAAGTGCTTCATTTAAATTTCTGCAGACGCTATCTTCACTTTGCATTTCAACACTGGTCAAAACAGAACAGATTATCAAGCAATTTGGTGAAGTCACTGATATCTCACATTGATTCTGAGCATAACAAGGTACAATCTGTTGATATTTAAAGTATTATTCAGGTTTTCGTGTTGAAAGATGTTATATTAATTTTGTTATGTCTTGAGTCTAAGACCCCCAAAACATCTGAGCCTCCAAAAGGAGTAAAACCCATGGCATCTTATAATGTTAGGGGCGTAATTTAACCATTGACCTACTACATGGAGGATGTATGCTCTCATAGTGTTCATACATGTATAGTATTTGATATTCCTTACGCATGTGGTAAGGGTAAAAAACACTGGATGCATCATCAGTGGTGATAAACATTGAAAGACGGCAAATTTTAGTGGTGGAGAAAAAATGGGAAAGATGTTTTTTCCCTTTTTTTAATACTGTGCAAGTATGCCATGTGCTTCTCAATGAAAGTTACTCTCCCCCTTGACTTGCAGTCAGCATGGCTTTGTCTCGCAGAGATTGGGTCATCATCAAATAAACTGGATCATTCTTTTGTGGTTAAAAGTTGGAACGAATACTCTCAAGGATTGAAAGGTTTGTCTTTTAGGCCTTTAATCTGCAGTTGGCACTGGAAAAGACTTGTCATTGTCAGGATTGACAGCTGATGTCAGATCCTTACACTATAAAGTTCTGTAAATAATGACTTTTAATGATCCGAGTGACATTGGTTTGCTTCAAATATTTCACAAGGTTTCATCTTTCTTCCTATAGAATCTGTTATAATAATATTGTTTTTAACTTATTAGTTTTGAGAATGTAGAGGACACATTTTTCACCAAGTGAGAAATTTGATGATAGATGGCTTGAAAAAATGTCCCTTGTGGCTATTTTTTGATAAGTTAAACTTTTCAAACAGCTTGCATTTTAACATTATGCTTACTGCTATGGCCTACAACAACTGTGTTATATACCTTATTGGTACTAAATTTTAGCGATTTTGGGGGGTGGGATTTCATTTTCGTGATTTTAACGAGTAAACATGAAAAAAGAGCATTAAATTTCTCAATTTAAGTACTCTCAACTTCATTTTCTTCTTTTAAAAGTCTGAACCTTTAAGAAAATTAGATAAAACAAGCAATGTGTGAAATCTTTGCAAACTAATGTCATTTCACAATGGAAGGTACAAAACGGAGCTTACCAGTAAAACCAGAAAGCAATCTGTGTTTGTCGATACATGTTGTTATTACATGTCAGTTGTTATTTGAATTTTCTTTGTGGGTATCAAATTTTGCGTGCTTTTAATTTAACAAGGATTTATTTTTGTGGGTCTTTAATTTCACGATTTATTTTACGATCACAAAAAACGTGAAATTTAAGACCCTGAAATTAAGTACCAATAAGGTATGTTTTTACTGTCTGGTTTATTTCTCAGACTATGATTGTGAGACGGTTTGCCGTATTCTTGCTGTGTTGGGGAGTAATGCCCCTCTCCTTCCCTCTGATGCTGTTAGTACACTTATAGGTGGGTTTATAATTAGTTAGTTTAGACCTTTGAAGGGAAAATAAATTTAAGCTTAGGAGTGTGCAGATTGGTAAAATTGTGGCTAGACCACCAGGGCCCAGTTGTTTGAAGACCAATTAGTGCTAACCCAGGGTGAAATTTTAACCTGGGTCTCTTTCTCTTTTAATCAAAACAATTTTCTCAAACAATTTTCTCTATTCTTTTTAGAGGAGCCAATCATCAAATTGTTGATAGAAAGAAATAAACTGAATTTGCTTTTTAAGCTCTCATATCTGAATTCAAATTTCGAACTAACCCTGGGTTATCGTAACCCAGCTTTGAACACCTCAGCCCAGAACTGTAAAGCAGGGTTTGTACAGGTCATTGAAAACCTGAAAAGTCATGAAATTCATTCTCCAGGGAGGAAAGTCATGGGAAATTAAAGTTATGTTAGATATATTATATAGACTGCATATGTCAAAGCAAGGACAATTTGAGACCGTGTCCAATAATTAAATGACATGGATTTTACTGGACACCAAAGTTTGTGTCTGTTGAACTGAGTTAGGTAAAAAAAAATACTCTGAAACCAGGAAATTTTTAAAAAATACTCAACAAACCCTAAGGTCATGGAAAAAGTCATGAAAGGTCTTGGAATAAATTGAAAGAGCTCAAAAGAATACGAACCCTGTAAAGAAGTGATGCCATCACGCAAACTGAATTATAATGTGGTATGTAAATAAAAACAAAATGTGATGTAAAACAAAAAAAATCGATTTATTATCATCATTTTTATTTTTCTGCCCAGGTGACCTTCAGCGTAAGCTGATTATGTTTGATTGTTCACCTGACGTCATTGCAGCTATCATTGCTACTCTCTGCAAGGTATTCCGTCAGTCATGACTACTTTTTTTCTAACTTAAAATGTGTGTGATGTTTTTCAGAGTAAATTAGAGACCTTTTGATTTTAATTCGAGGACGACTTACAAGAGCGAGATCTTCTCAATACTATGAGAAGTGTGCACACATGAACCCATTTCGCTGGGAAAATGCGATAGCCCTCATCGTTCTACCACAGGTTTTAGTGAAAATGTCGTAGTGACGGAAACAAATTATCAAATGTTAAGAGTTTTATCATAAATTGATCGGGAGAGGGCTTCATGTCCTGTAACAAAAATAACTGTGTTAAGTTTCCTTGTGAATAAAAGGAAAATGAAGCTTTCCTGGGTTTCTATTTTTTTAGAATACACAAAAATACGTTAAGTTAAATCTCGTCCTCATACTCCTGAAGAGCTCTAATGATTCCTCGACCTGGTTAATCTGATAAATGAAGCAGTTAATAACATGCAATCTACACTTCCTTTTTTGCAGCTGTGTAAAGTACAGCCAGAGGAAAGGGTAAATGAAAAAAATTGTTTGATTCTTTTGAAGATTTCACTCGTGAAGGATAGTGGAATATTACAAATAACTGCTGTCTTAAAAGAATGAATTATTATTTCAACAGATTTTAGTTTAGAGCGGTTTTCACTTGACTGTCGAAAGGGATTGGTTTTGGTTTTGGTTTTGGTTTTACTACGCCCTTTGGTTGGCTAGTGTATTTACTTTGGTTTTGGTTTTACGACAGTCAAGTGAAAACCGCTCTAATTATCATCGTCAGACTTGACTTTTCTAACAACAATATTCATTTTCATTCTTTTACATAAATACTATCAACAATAGCAACCTACAAACAGTAAAGTCATTCAGATTTTTTATAAATTGATTACAATATTACCAATTGTATCTCAGTATTAGATACTATGTACACTAAACATAAGTTTTTCTCGTAACATTGTAAATTATCATGGGCTTCAAAATAATTATTAGCTTTTTGTTTTTATTTTCACAGGGAAGTACAGATCACTGGTGTTCCGATCTTTTAAAGGCTTCAGAGGAATTCCTCTCCAGTGTTGCCTTAAAGCACGGTGCAATAACTGATGAGGAACTACTCATGCGACACTTGTTTACTGTGGGGGAGGTGGCACAGGTGCATGTCAACTGGTTGTTATAATCTCTTTGGGCAAATATCTTTAACTTATGTGATCTACGAACTGGTAAAAAGGGTTCTACTACCCCTTACAAAAATCATACTAACTATATGCATAAATCAATCGATCGTTAAAAATATGTCGTGTTTTCATGTGTTGCAAATTCTGCCATGTTCACCAAAGTAGAGAAATTACATTACTCAGATCACAATAGAGTGCCCTTTTTAAATTAGGTTTATATGACAGAAATGTAATGAAACATGATCAAAGCATCCATACTTGATACGTTTTAGCATGTTAACAGAGGTGACTCTTCATTTATATTGTTTTCCAAGAATTGTTGTAAAGATATAGATCCACAATGCACTGCAAATACTAAACAATTATAGCAACAGCTATGTCCAAAACGCCATGGCAAAGAATCAAAATCTACCAGTAAGTAAGGTTATTTTTTTATGATCCACTTGCAGCTTGCACCAACGAAGACCACAGAGCGTCTGTTCATGTTCGTGGAATCCATGTTGATATCTCATAGCAGCAACAAAGAAGGTAAAGTGGTCCAGCCCGGCTGTGCACTCTTTAAAGGAAGGTGACTCGTTTTCTCACAGAGTTATAGAATGATGTCTATTTGGCTTTGTCTTAAGCTGTTTTGAAATGATAAATGTCACTTTTCCAACTTGAATTATTAAAAATATTTTATAGTTTTTGAATTACAGGCTCAAAAATAACTTAAATTCCAGCTTATTCTGTGGAAAAGCCGCTCTCATATTTTTCTTGCCCCGGGCCATCGTTAGTCTGCTAAAAACGGCTGTGTAGCAGACTAGGCCATCGTGTGCTTGTCTTGTTGAACACTTGCTTGGACCCTCGCCTACACTGCAGGAAGCTTAAAAAGTTACTTACCAAGAAATCTACTTCTTGAGCCCAGAATTTCTGGATTGTCCACAAGTAAAAAAGTGTCATATTCATTAAAGTAATTATGCCCTTTATTTCAGATCCTCTTCAAAAATTAAATCTTTCGCCACCAGTTAAAGCTCATGCTTTTGTCACTCTTGGTAAGTAGTCTCAGTGCGGCCCGCTCAAACTGTTCCTCTAGGCAATGGTTGTTTATAGAGTTACTCAAAGATTTTATACCAATCAATATAAAATCAGGTATAATATACAGCAACCTGAAAGTTTGGATGGTTACCTTATCTTTTAAAACCACTGTTTTATAACTTTAAATTAAATAGCTATGCACATCTAAGGGGTATTGTCCACGCATTTATAATGCTGGCAGTATGCGAGTAAGAACTGTGTTAAACAACAGGGAACTTACGGTCACTTTAGATGAATAAATGGATACAAGTGACAGTTTTGCTTTAGGAATTTTTCTCACTTACAGGAAAATTGTGCCTTCAAAATGAAGATCTAGCAAAGCAGTGTATCGCAGCACTTGCCAGGGAACTAGAAACTTCAAATGATCCAGCCATCCGAAATAACGTCACCGTAGTAATGTGTGACTTGTGTGTCAGGTAAACATTGATTCTTTGCCATAACTTCTTCTCCATTTTAAAATTGAAGAGATAATTCAGAATAAAACCACATATTGCAACGCTAACTCTCCGTAGAAAAGCTGTGTAGTCAGAACTACAAGTCCTCTCACATGCCTCTATTTTTAAAATCTACTCATACGTTCAGGCCGTATACAACTTCTCAGTTACAGGGCTTTGAGGAGGGTTACAAATGGAGCATTTTTTTATTTAATTATTTGTTCACAAAATACATTCAATTTCCTTGTTTGAATTCAAACAACTCTTAAAGACATCGCAAATGAGTCAATAAAGTATGTCATTATTAAAGCAACAGCGATCATGAATATCCGATATGGAAAAGAAGGGATTACATCTGATGAGTGGACAGGGGAGGGTTGTAAATAAGTTGGTTCATAAGTGGAATATATTTTTCGTTTTCATGGGCCGGTGAGCGGGGATTGCGTTGGCTTATAACAAAACTGCGAGTAGTCTGCTATTTTCCATAGAGATAGAAAACTGAGCGAAGTACACAAGCGCGTGTGAAAATCGCTACACCCAAGGAGGGTAACAAACTGAACCGGAATTAATATGTAATATGTGGCTTTTTTGTCCCGTAATGAACAGTTCTGCGAGAAATGACAGGATGGCCATCCTACGAAACCGTTTCAATTCTGCATCTCTTAGAGCCAATATATTTTTAAGTTGTAAAATAAACTTTTCTCGTCGCATTCAGGAGAACTGATGATGTGTTAAATTGTCGTCAATTGTTACTTATTATCACTGATTTTTTTTTTATAGGTACACCAGTCTCGTTGATCGCTATGTTCCAAACATTGCTGCTTGCCTTAAGGACGGTACATCACTTGTGCGAAGACAAACACTTACCCTCCTCACCCATCTACTGCAGGTATCAAAGTCAACACATTTGTCTTCCGCTGTGTCGGTTTATCTGTATCTTGTGTAAAAACGATCATAACACCATTTATTGTAGTAATCACGCTTGATAAGTTCTTGAATTTGCAAGGGTTTTCCATCACATGAAACTGCAGAGAAGTGTCAGATATATTTATATAAAAGGGGACCATGACATATTTGAGTATGACTCTAGACTTGAAAAAAAAAACATTCATACAAAATTAGCAAATGTGATGTGGTGTTGGACGTTAAATTTGGCTGGACGTTTCTCGAAAGGCTCTATGTAAGTCAAATTCGATGCTACAAATTTGTGCAGTGATTGCAGATCATTTTTGAGTTCTAATCACAGACAATAAAGTCCTGTTATTAATAAGTAAGTTTTAAGTGTATCATTATTATTTTTATTATTTTATTCTGATTATTATCTTTAGGAAGACTTTGTTAAATGGAAGGGTGCTTTGTTTTACCGCTTTGTTACAACACTGGTTGATGAAGATGTGGAGATTCGCAAGTTTGGTTTGTAGCAGAATTTAGTCACATTATTTATTGATGTTATGCTATGACGTCTTATTTTTGTTGTTGTTTTATGGCTAGGAAGTTTTAGCCTTCGTAGTCGGCGGGATCATGTTAGTCTGCCATCGCTGTTTTCGTCCCTAGACTGGCTACTATCTTTGACTTTGGGTAGATTTACTTACACTATTTAACAATTATTCCTCGAGCCCAAATGGGCTGTGAGTCAATAGCTCAGAGGCCATGAGGGCGAGACGAATAATTGTTTTAGTAAAATTCCACTAGTTGGTCAAAAATATCGAGACAAAACAACTTTCGCTAGCAAAACACGATTCAGCCGCCGTTGTTTTGGTTTTCAAAGCAGGCGCTTTTCGCTGCTAGTGGGCTATAACACATAGTCTACAGTAGTAGTAGCTCAACCAATCAGAACGTTCCGGTCGTAATTTTTTACTGTTTTAAATCTTGAAAACTAAAAATCCTAGCAGGCAAATACGACAGCTGTACGCATATGCTGCCTGCTAATTAATCGATCCTTAATCACTACTGTTTGCTTGTAGAGTGAGAAATTGTCGGTAAACCTTGCACCTCTGTAATTCAGGGAAGTGAAACCAGCTTAAGCTCAACAAGGAGGCAGCTTGGCCGAGTGGTCAGCTCGTCGAACTCGCACGCGGTAGTCCCGGGTTCGAGTCCCGCTTTGGCCACTCGCTGGATTTGTTCTCGATCGTCCCGAGTTCAAACCCGCGGCCATGCTTGTAAACCAACTGACGTAAACTAGTTGCCTCCTGCCAGTTTTATTTGAATTATTTCTTAAGTATTTGAGTGAAGCACCTGTAAAGTTGCTGGAATGAGCTAAGAGCACTTTCGACTATAATTAAACAAACCTCTTAACCTTTTAATTGCTTTGTCTTCTTGTATTTCAGCTGATTTTTGCCTGGTTCATCTTCTGCTGTCAAGACACCCAGGAATGCTCTATCAACACTTTGTTGAATGTGTGTTCCACTTCAACTCCTTTGAAAAACACAAAGGTGAAGTAGCGGCATCCGTAAGACTGCGTGCAAACGGACGCAACAAGTAACAACCAGCAATGTTGGGAGTTGTTGGTCAACAATGTTTTGTCCGTTTGCACGCAGCCTAAGACTTTCAAAAATTACCATAAAATCCTAGTTCAAAGGTGGACCTACGTTCATTTATTCTTCAGTCCGGATGAGCTGGTTTAATAATCAGAAACTGAGCCAGTTATTAGGTTATTCAGCCGCCATAGATCTGTCCACTGACTCAGTCAAACAAAAGAATCTTCGCGTGGCTTTTATTTACTTACTTTTGCCTTTTTGATTTAGTATACAACAAGTTTGCACAGACAGACAGAGAGAAGAAACTGTTTTCTCTCAAAGGAGACCATAATTCCAGGTAAATTACCCTTTCTTATGGCTGATACCATCTATAAATTGTACTTTAAACTGTTTTGAATTCTTGTTTTGAAGATCGTTGACGACTTACGCGAGAAAGAATTAAAACCGGCCCTTGTAAACAGCCAGAATGTTGTATATAAATTTCAATGTGATTTGTGTGATGTGGCGGAATTATGTAGAATACACGTTCCGTCACCTTCATCAACATGTAGGGGAACATTGACATTCGGTAGCTGGCTACCATTTTATCGAGAAACACGATGTAAAGCGGGTAAACCTTGGTGGAAACTCCAATCAGGTTGAAGGGAAATTCTTAGCCTGCTCCAGGCGTTCAGATGGTCTTCCCTTGTTTTTTCCCTTCATACGATTTAACTCGCTCCCAACTATATGAACGCCGCGCCCTACTATCTAAACGCCTGCAACAGGCTAGCTCGGTTCTGCATCGCAGACGTAACTAGCCGGGTTAGACGACGTCTGCTATTCAAGCTAGAGGCAAACCAGCGATAGACTTTCTGAAAGTCCGTTTTGGTTGGGTCATCGTTCAGGAGGGAACTAAAACTGTCGTTTTTCTCTTACCTCGCGCGCATTTTCGTGACTTCGTCGCTCAAAAGTCAACTTGTAGGCAGGCCTAACCAGCGGGATTACCAAAGAGATGAACTCGGAGCAACAAAGAACAAGTTGCTTGAACAGAAATGCAGCGCCGAGGTCCTCTCGATCATTGTGCGTAATTTTTCGCAATAATTATAAGCAATAAAGTAATTTTAACAAATTTCCCATGTTTGCTGCGAAGGTTCTGAAAGGCCGTTTTAAATCATTAGATTTATGAGGAAACGACTGCGAGTAATTATGTCTCTAACATTCAGATTTTTTTTTTCAGCAAACGGTTCATCATATATCAGTTCATGCTAACTCACATGAGTGATGAAGACAGGTTTAATCTCACAGGAAAGCTTTGTCAAGAGGTTTGTTCTGAATGATCTCTGCACAGAACATATTTCAGTCAGAATTTGACTGGTTTTCTGTAATTAACCGCTCGCTATTGATGATTTAATAGTGTATTTCATTAAATTCAATTTTGAGCTGAAAGAATTTTCGTACAGCTTTGATATAAGCAAATGTTTGGGGATTCTATTTGTATAAACTTGCATAGAAGTTTAACTTCTTCTGACTTGATTTGGGACCAATCGCGTATAATAATGAGGAAAAAATTTAAAGATTTGGAAGTCGCTAGTGTTTGTTAAAAATCTTGTGACATACTGGTAGTAATGAAACCTGTTCCGGCCCTTACATGTGTATTTAACCATCTCAGAGTTAAAACATTTATTGATTTCTTTCTGGAGGTTCTGGGTTGTTTTACCGATGGTGTGATTAGATTGGATCAAGATTCAGCTGCTGTTCTTAAAGACGCACTGCTTATCCTAAGTAGCAAGGTACAACTGTATTTATTTTGTGACATGCATGACAGTTAAAGTTACCTATCCTTTAAGATGGAAATGAAGCATGCAAATGTTTTTGTTACTTGCTTAGCATCGGTTTGTTTGAAGAGAGAACACATTTCATAGTCGCAATGAAATGTCCATCTGACAGATCACTGCATTTTGTGGGTGGTAGGTATAGAGAGAATGTCCAGTATTAACGGCGTTATTGCTCCAGACCAAACAAAACAAATACACACTTCAAAGCGAAATGGGGCAACTGCAAGCACGTCAATGGTACGGCACGTATAGAATGTAACTTGGTGCTACTGTCCAAAGCCTCACTGGAAGCCACACCAGTGAAATTACAGGATAAGGGGCGCTAAAACTCCAAGGGAATGTTAATGCGCTAACAAGAGACAAAGAAGGCTAATGTCACGCTTCTTGCTCTTAGCTGTACGATAAGTTAAGTATGTAGTTTAGCGCAGTGCCGTTTTTAAAAAATCGAGCTTGATATAGTACCTTTCATATCGCAATATTTTATTTTCCAGAACATCAAACTGTCTTCCATGAGAACAAAGGCAGCAGAAGACCTCGCAGATGAGGGAGATGCAGCAGGAGCTGCTATTGTTCAAGCAAGAAACAAGTTTCTTACTCAGGTAATTTATCCTCTGAGCAATGTCACTCAAATGAATTGGGAAAGAAATGCCATTTCGTCAGTTTCCTCTTTCCCTCTTTGGGCTATTTTTTCCCACACAACACTGGTACAACATTACGTGATTTGTTGAAAACTAACGAGAATATGGCTTCGCAAAGTCGCAGAATTTTGCAGACGTTTGTCAGTATTGTAGTTACCCTGCGAGCAGAGGCTACATTTTTGCGGTATTAGCTGGCCGCGAAAATGTAGCCTCTGCTCGCAGGGTATATTGTAGTGGGCCTGCCTCATACCCAGACGTCTTTCTCTCTCGATGAAAATGTACGCGCAAAGGAAGGCAGGAAGCCTGAGGAGGAGACTTGTAGTGGGCAATTTCGTCTCCCCTACCATACAAACGTCTGTAAAATTTCGCGTTTTTGTGGTGCTATATCTTCGCTTGCGTTTAACGCGATATCACCTTTAACTCAGTAGGTTTCCTAATTCTAAGCCGCTCTTTCCAGCAGTGTCAATGAAAATTTTCTACCTGGTCTTTATCAAAATTTGAAAAATACCGTGGAAGGGTCTGTTGGTAATCATGTTCTACGGCATTTTCGGTAATTCAAAAATTGCACAAATTTTTTACCATTTTAAACTTGTCTACATCGTGGTCTCATACATAAACGTTCTTTTGGCTCGTCACGCAGTTTTTTTCTTTAGAAACAAAAAGGGAACTGGGACCGAAATGCATACCACAATTGTTTCTGGGATCGTCACTGGTGACGTGCCGGTCAGCTATTGGCCAATTCCTAAGTAACAGTCCCAGAAGTCTTTTCGAAAGTCAACTCGGCCCGGTGTCCTCGTTTCTAAAGTGCCGAATTTCAAAAGAACGTCTGCATAGCAGCAGTCTAGCTATATTTTACTGGCTATATTTGTGAAAACACCCTAAAGATAGAGAATAAAGTTCATACCCAAAATTGGAAAGGTCTTGGGTTAATCGTTTCTTAAATTATTGGTCATTTTAACAGGTTTTAAAGAAGAACATGATAGAGAACATCATACCAATAATCATTGAACTGAAACACATGGTAAGGTCTTAATATTCTAGTCAAAGCCACTTTTAATAACAGTTAATAAACGGGACAGTACTTACTTAGTTTTCATCGACTCGTCACAGTGCAAGCATTTGCAAACAAACGAATTTAAATTTATCCAAGAAAGCTCTTATTAGTCGCTCTTTTTTATCTGAGGCAGATGGCCAAGCGAAACTCGTGAGTTCGCGAAATCTCGCGTAACGCGAGGAGACGCGACGAGTGCCGGGGAATAGGGATACAAATTTAAACCAACGATTTAACTATTTTTTCTTCCCTCTTCACGTCGCATCTCTCTGGGCGATATTCTGCAAGCTCGCATATTTTGGCCTTGCTCCATAATCTGAGAAGAATTAAGGAGCCTGTTCTTACTCTGCTGGCTCCTTAAGCATCAGTGCTAATTATGCTATTGCATTTCAGCTTGAAAAGCAGCATTCTCCTTTGCTCAAAGAGCTGATGTTTTGTTTGAAAGAAGTCATGAAGGATTACAGATCTGAAGTTCAGGATGTGCTGTCAGCAGACAGGCAGCTAGCAAATGAAATTGAGTTTGATCTCAAGAGGTTTGAGGAACAGCAGAAAGAACTTGAAGAACAAAGAAGGAAACAAAACACTCCCAACAGCTCTCCACAGGTGTAACCGCGTTTAATTTTATCTTTTAACCTCACTCACCTTTGTGCGAAAAGGAATACACCATGTCTTGTTTGCTCTTAGCCTCTATTTCAGTACTTAACCTTGCACACCACCGCACACTTGAATGAGTTACATTTGCGCGTAAATGAAGAATTGTCACGCTAGGAAAGGATGGCACAAGATGCCAGTCGCACAAAGCTTTCTGCAGACGTAAATTCTAGAGTTAAAATATTATAGAGTTTGCCTCGGCCTGACGTAAAGAGTTGTTCAGGTAGCCCAGGACAAGGTAATTTAGAGCTGGCCTAGATTTTGAACTGTCGTTCTTCTAGGAAAAAAGGAATTACATATTACACACGTCCTTGCTTCATTACTTCTTAAACAGCAGAGACAACCGTGTTCGAACAAGAAGTTATTCCGCATTAAGGATTTTCATCTATCAGCAACAAAAAAATTTTCCTACAATGTATTCAGATGATATTACCAACATAAACAAGCAAAAACTATTTTTTGATTGTTTTCTTAGGTTATTGTCAACAGGCAAACCCCGTCAATCGGGAGCACCCTAGTCCAGGTTGCAGAGTTTGTTACTCCACAGCTACGGAATGCCACGCCCTCTCCCAGAAATGGTAAAGTTAAAGATTGTAAGGGCGCTTTTCATTTGTCAGATCTGGCCGCCCGGACCTTTGCCCGACCAGTCAGTTTGAAAATGAAATAGGCTTTTTCCAAGAGTTTTTGCTGAAANAGGATACAGCAGGTTGTTAGGCGAGGAGACCTCAAGAAATCACCAGGCTTACATAGAGAGGCCACCTCGACATCACAATATTGTATCCCATAAAGCCCTTATTTATCACCCTCAAACTTTGCATAAGCGTTGATTCCAGTTCCTCTCGGCACAATACAAATTTTAAGAGAAACTGAAGCAATGATACGTGATACGTTTATTCTGTGATGTCACTTGTCCTAGTAATAAAAATTTTTTTCCCTTGTGGAATTTTTCCTTTTTCAGCGGCCTCCAACATTTCTCCCCTTGCCAGTGCAATAGGGCGAATGCAAATCAACAGACGTCACACCCTCGCGGCTGAACCACAGATGAATTCTCCACGCACCAGAGCTCTGAATTCCAATCTTTCTGTGTTGATAAGCCCTCTTCAAAACAAACGACGACACACTCTGACCACAGCAGCTCTTCTTAATTCTGCTCGCAAGGCTGTGGATCAAGCACATAGGATTGCTGAACAAAACAAGAAAAAGAGCATCGGTTACATTGAAGACCCAAGAGAAAGCGGTGCTGTGAGAGAGGGACCTGAAAAACGCACTCCTTTGAAGCCTCTAAATCCCAGGGCTCTAAGAAACAATGATGAACGAGCGGCAAGCACACCTGAAGGTAATACTTATATAGGTTTTTTTAGAATATACAATTTTATGCGAGAAATTTAGCACCAGGCCCCAGTTGTCAAAAGATAAATAACGCTATCCACTGCAGGGATAGCGCAATTAGTTAACCTATCTACTTATCCACTAGATAGTGTTTTATCCGGTGGATAGCGCTATCCAGCTTTTGAATAACTGGAGCAAGTAACAAAATATCGCATCTTGACGTATTTGCCAGTAACATTGCGACATAATTTATCAGGGTCCGAAATTGCGCCTTTTTTGGTCGCCAATGCGACTAAAAATTTAGCCCCGGCGACCAGAATTTCATAGCTGGTCGCCAGCTAGCGACTTGTAAAGCTGGTTGTTATTGTGGACTTTAACTTTCGGAGAATCTGATTAAGAATTGAAACCTCGAAGCTATTTGCCAACAGGTCTCTTCCTTTTTGACCTGCTGATATTTTTTTATTAAAAGTGAAACGAATCTTCTTGTAATAATACCTTCACAACAGCTACGATCAATACGAGTTGAACGTTTCCAAGCCGCCATGTTGTTTTCAGCTGAAATACGGTAAGCACGTTATGTACTTTGTGGCCTGGTACGAGCAACATGACGGCTTGACTCGTGTTTTATGTTTCGTGTTTCGTGGTAGTTATCGGAAGAAAATAGAGTTTTGATATGATCAGTGCAGTCGTGGGCAGACAGCTTTCTGTTCCTATGTTCTCGGTTAGATAGCTTTATATCTCCAAGAAGTAATTTGTGGAAAAAATAAGACGTCACTGGTACACGTACGGTTGCTTTCTGGTATCGGGAGCGAAAGTGGTGCAACTTTTGAGCATAAAAACGTCCATATCATGCATTTTTTGTTCGTGTTTAGACAAAAGAAAAAAAGGGAGGGAAAATTTTTGGCGACCACAATTTGCCCTCTGGCGACCAAAAATTTATACTTGATCGCCAGTTGGCGCCCGCATTAAAAAGTTAATTTCGGACACTGCATAAGGTGAAGGCGATTTTCCCCGGCCGCCTAAAGAGAGCTACAAAGGCCGCTTTTGCAATTCAAAAGTTTTAAATTCACAGGTAGATATCAGTGTATTTCCGGAAGTCATCTTATTTACGTATTTTTGTATTTGTATTTTTTTTTCTTCTTAGTATTTATAACGCTTATCATCTTTGGTGTTAATCGCAGGGGAAACAACTCATTTATCAAGGATTTCATTTTGTGTGAACAACAGTGCTACAGCGCCACCATCTCCTATACCAACATCCTTGCCAATTAGGGTGTATCCTGCGGAGGATAAAGGTATGTCTTGTCTTGCCATCTGAAAGCTGTACAGGCTGCATCCTCCTCAGGCGCTTTGTTTTCCCGTTTTTCGAACAGAGACGAGCGCGAAACGCGAGTGACTGGTGACGAAGCGCAAGGTACCATGGGAGGGCAAAATACGAGAAACTTCTGGGTATGAGGCAGCTGTGTAGGCTTCTTTCATTACTCTTTTGATGACTTCCTTCCCATCCTACCATCTCCAAAAAAAGGAGAGAATACTTTCAGAGAAACAACTTAGACACTCTCGGAGGAGGCTCCTCCTCAGAGGCTTCTTTTTGTTGTACGGAGGTAGGGGAGAGGGGGAAATGAAAGCGCAGGGGTCGATGGGAAGGGGAAAGAGAAGCCGCCTTTTCCCTCTTCCCATCGTCTGCCGCGCCCTTTCTATTTTTCGATCATGCTATTTTCATTGAGATACCCAGCTAGAGCCTCTTGCGGAGAAAAGAGGAACTTAGATGCCTATGGATAGCCCCTACACTTGTTAACGTCAGACGTCACGTCAATGATTTCCCGAGGCAGTGAGTTGAAAAGAATATCCACGCACAAAGAATGTAAATACAAAGAATTTTGCTCACAAACGAGGCGTGGTGATGAAATTGCTCGTCTGACGTGATCATGCACAAGTGTCTTTCTTATCAGCTTTGGTAAAACTGAAACGGACATTTTTTAAGAAAAGTGATAACAACCCAGCCCTGATTCTTTCAGAGACTTCACCAAGCTGGGTAGAGGGCAAAGCTACTGAAGCAGAAGAGATTGAAGATGGGGAGGAAAACAAGGAACAACAAATCATCTGTTTAATGTCACCTGAACAGAAGTATGTATGAGCTATAAGGGACTGGTCAAAAAGTACTGGCGGGTGGGCGGGCCGGAGCATTTGGAAATGTGGTGTATAAAAAACTCATGGCCCACCCCACCCCACTCTATACTTTTTGACCAGTCCCTAAAGGACAAAAACACCATCGATCGGGTTCCGTTGGTACGGTCATTTTATACTAATCCAGAATCAAGTAAGCACAGTCAGATTAAACTTTGTAGGCATACAACTCATTTTACTCACGCTTAGTGTTGCTGCTTTGAATTAAAGAATTTATTTTGTTTTTGTAGACCTCCAAAACCCAGGACTTGGAATATCAAATCTCCAGTAAGTAATCAAGATTCATATTGAAAATCATTGATTCCATTTACATTCAAACCTCTCATAAGATCACCCGAAATGCGAAGAATTAATGGTCGCTTGAGTTTATCACTTACGAGAATCAATCCACAGGGGTCTCTACCGAGAAGAGTCTGGACACATCTATTTGGAAGAGAATTTATTGCATGCAATTTCTAAGTTATGATATGTGTGGTTTCAAGTTGTTACTGAAAGTTCTTCGTATACACTGATCAAAGCGACCACGCCATACCTCAAGTGGTCGGTTACAAGGGACTGAAAACAATGGAAAACTATAGAACCGTCAGCCCAAAATTGGTCGTGGTCGTATACGAGAATTCTGATTATAAAGCTTTGTTTGGGAAAATTGTGGTGTTCTGGGTCTGTGGTCGCGTATGGAAGTTGGTCTTATGGAGTTTCGAATGTATGATGAAATCAAAACAAACCACTATTTTACAACGAAACCTCGATATGACGATTATAGTAGAATATGTAAAACAGGACCCTGACATTGGACATTTTACGGTCTCGCTTGAGACTGGACCGGTGTTCTCTCGAATTGCACTGTGGGACTGTTTGGGCGACGAAGATCGTCCCAGGTTTCTGCGCAACCTCTTAATGGCTCACTTCGGAAAAGAGTGATAGCCTGGGACCCAAGCTAAGCGCGCGCTCACTTATGGGATTGTTTGGGGGGAAACAAGTCGAGCAGCCACCTTGAATAATGACGAGATATGCAAGTTGTTTGTGTTTTTTTACACAAATAACTTCAGGAACTTCTCAGTCCGCGCATGCTTACCTTTATACGAGCTGCGTTTTCTTTCCGGTTGTTTTGGCTCCACCGCACAGAAGCCATATCTGGAGCTGTTTCACGGTGCATTCTTCTGGTTTTTCTCGAGGTAAATTGCCCCAGGCACATCTTCCTTCAGCTTCACACTTATTTTTTTTTCTCTCAATTCCACCTTCCGTTTTGCTATTTTGAGCTGTTTTAACCCAGCCGAAACATTCCACTTCGCTTTCCGCCATGATTGTTTACATTTACGTCCCCAAATAATCCCATAAATGCGCGCGCGCCTAGTTTGGGTCCCAGGCTATCCGTCTTTTCCAAAGTGAGCTATAGGAGCTATAGAGCATTTTCACATGACGTCACCGCGGCCGTATGGTGTACCAAGACAATCCTGTGGGAGTTGAACTCTTTTCTCATGTCAATGATGTAAACGCTTTCTTCTGTTCTATAGCGTAGATACTGATAACGTGAGTGAAACTTCTGTATAGCCGATGAAAGAAGCGACAGCATCCCTAAAACGTTCCCGCCATACAGTGGAACCTCGATATAACGAACCTCTATATAACGAAGTCCTCAGTATAACGAAGGATTTTGTTTACCCCAGTAACAGCAAAATATATGGAAAAGTACCTCTATATAACGAAACCTCGTTATAGCGAATAAATTTTGCCAGTACCTTGGTACTTCTTTATATCGAGGTTGCACTGCAGTGCCCTGTGTTAAACGGAATCACAAAACAACTAACGTATCCTCATTTTAGCTATGGCTAATGGGTTCTTACCATTTACATGGGAAAACCGGAAATTCCGGTAGGAAAATCAAATGGTTCGCGTCATTTCCGGTTGGGAAGCTTCAGTAAACATGGGCTGTGATTTGCGACGATGCAATTTTTCTACTCCATTTAGTCTGTTCAGCTGATTTGGAAATACTTTGTAGCGGGTTTTTCTCCCACCATGTCAAATTTTATAGTTTTATGTTTATGCGCAAGATTTCCAGCCGCGTAGGTTGTGTTAGCGGTTAGGTCCCCGCGTTTCCAGTCCCCTGGGCCTTTATATTGGGGTTCTACTGGGCATAAATTGCGAAATCAGGGTTGAATTACCCCGAATGGCACCTACGTTATAAAAGCGATTTCCACTTGTGAATTGAGACTGCCTCAATCAAAGTTTTAGATTTTTTGTGAGTTGTGATCAACTTTAAATTTTCGTAGACAAACCCAAACTGTAATGTAACTTACCCTTTGGTTTATTGCGTTTTCTAGGATCGTAAAAGGCATTCTACCAGGAAGGCAAACAGCCAATCACAGAATGATTCTGTTGCCGGAAGGACAAGGTCTCGGAAACGAAAGTGACAGTGAAACGCTAATTTTACTGCAGTTTTTAAGTCATTTTAGATTTATAATCTCTGGCAACATCAAAATCACCAACAGAAGCTCAAAATTGAATTTTTTTAATCGCCTTTTTTAAAAATTATATTCCTGATTTGTTAGCTCATAATCGTAGTGCTGAGCTGTGTTTTGGAAACAATTTTGTCAGTGAAAAAAACATCGGTTCGTAGTATTTTCGTAGAGTTGAACTATTGTGAACGTAATCATTATCTTTTTATAGCATTTCTGCAGAAATACATTTTACGTCATTAGTTAAGTAGTATCGTAGTATTGAAAGGGACAATAAAAAAGTATAGTTTTCTAATCACGTATTTGCTGTAGTTTCTATTCCGAAAGAGGAGTAAAAAAAACATCAGGAACCGTTGTCAATTTAGGACGAACGTCCTGTACGGAACCGTAAACACTGAGAAACCTTTGTTTATGTTCCTAGTATCATTAACTCATGCAATTGTAGTTTCCAAATTGCAAACAAACGTTTGGATCATTTTAGTTCTTTTCTGTCGAATGGTGACCAGCAAACTTCCCAGATAGCTGACCCCATGC